GAGAAGGAGAGCGAGGATAAAGAGGAAAAGGATACCGCAACAGACAGAAAAGAGGAAGAGAAAGAGGATGAAAAAGAAGAGGATGAGGGTGAGGAAGAGGAAGGGGAGAACGAGGAAAAGGAGAGTGAGAGTGATAAAGAAAACGATGAGGTAACAATTAAACACGACTATTTAAACCAGTGCTTCTCGACCTTCTCCCTCCCCCCCCGCGCTCCTAAAAAATTTTAAGATCTCCTCGAACCCCTCACAGTAATAGTTAATATGTCCTCGCACCCCCTCACAATATCCACTTCGTGTCTTTCATCCACTACAGTGAGTGTCTATGATCAAATACCTCAGAAGGAAGGTAAACCCATCTTAAATAGTGTTCACAAGTGGTACCATTACTGTACGTTCTAGCCTTTTCAAGGATGTATACGTTAAAGTCGATCCTCGCTTACTTTATACACGTGTCTGCGTTGAGCTCTGTCCGTGCCTGAAAATAACGCCCAAAGATAAGACCTTATCTCGCATCCCCTCAAGTACCATCTGTCACCCTCTGTGGTGTGAGCACCTCCGGTTCAGAAACCCAAATTTACTCAATTGAGATGCTCTAATAAAGAAAGTGAACTAAAAGAAACATAACTGNGTCTGCGTTGAGCTCTGTCCGTGCCTGAAAATAACGCCCAAAGATAAGACCTTATCTCGCATCCCCTCTAGTACCATCTGCCACTCTCTGGGGTGTGAGCACCTTCGGTTCAGAAACCCAAATTTACTCAATTGAGATGCTCAAATAAAGAAAGTGAACTAAAAGAAGCATAACTGCAACGAGTAAAACTCTTGAATGTATGCCATCCCATCTTAAATATATTCGCTCATAAAATCTATTCCATTTTAATCATGCATACATTTGGGTTCATCCTTATAACACGTTTTCACTTGCTCCTATTTTATAAATGAGTGAGTTTGTTAGTTCGTATATAATACCTTCTAACACATCGCGTTAACAATATTTGTTTGGTATCAATGAAAATGTTTGAAATGTATTGTATTCATACTGTATGGATAGTCATTGCCATTAAAATGAAATAATCATAACAACAATAATAATAATAACAGTAATAATACTTAATGATGTTGATGTTCAGAAGGAAAGTAGCAGTAAAGAAGAAGAAGAAATGATCAACGTGACGAGCACAACATCGAAACCAGTATTCATATTCGAAGGACCAACTGAAGCATCGATCCCTGAAGAGTCGAATGCCACATTAGTATTCGTTTTCGTTTTAATAATGATTCTCATCGTGATGACGGGTATCGTGTGGAAATTCGGATTGCATAAGCGATTGTTCCGTGCAAAATACGATACGGTCGCAGGGGGATAGCTTTTCGGAGTTAAAAAAATGAGTGTAGTCATAAGGGGAGGGAGAGGGTAGCTTCAGAATAGGGATATGATAACGGCTTTGATCAAAAGTATTGTTCTAATGAGTGGATTATTTGAAAAGGTGAGCAGTGAATTCATTTTATTGTTCTTATTGATGAAACGATCCATCCATCCATCCATCCAATCATCTACTGTGGTGTTTTGGGAGGATATTGGTACACAAGTGCAACTGTTTATTGACAAACAAAACACCAACAAGCAAAAATATTATTCATTCAAATCGTTCGCCTTTATAGCCTTATCGCGATCGACTGACCGATTCACAAAATCGACGGCAACATAACTCATTAAATTATAATTAATGGCAATGCTGTCGATTTCATGAATCGCTCACTTCAGCCTTAAAGGCAGGCAAAATGCCGTAAGATTTGAACAAACATTAATGTGAATAATTTTTGTTGGTGTGTTCTATATAAACGCCTGTGAATCAGTATTATTATTATTGTTATTATTGTTTTCAGCATTATTATTATTATATTATCACTTCAATAATCATTTTGTGTGATGACTTCACTGTTTTTATTCGACCATTTCAGTTGTTTTAATGCATACAATTAGTTAGTTTTAAAGGAATAACGGTAAATTCAATGCTGATTGAAACGAAACGGTAAATAAGTGATTATTGAGCGATTGGTTGGTTCATTTATGAATTGTATTGATTTAATCGTATTTAGGTGTATGCAGTCAGTAATTGGTTAGTGAATTTAGCTGAAACAAATCAATTCACATTCTCGCGTACTTCGTGTTAGCAATAATTCATTTTATTATTTTAATTTATTGATGATGCTGATTAATTGTCATACTGATGACTATAATTGTGTATAATATATAGATTTTATCGAAGTTGATCTCTTTTGATTTTGAAAGAAGTGATCATTTTTTCTTCATAGTGACATAACTGTGTATGAGTTGTAACGTATTATTTGTTAATGCTTCGCACTAATTGTTATAACTTGTAATTGTTATTGCATTTGTAGCGTTCATAATATTCATTGCTTGATCTCATTCATTCTGTCAAGATTCACTCTCCGGTTCTGGAATTAATAAATCCACTTATAATATATTAAATGCGATTGATGCACCTTTGCATTTCTAATTAATGAGATAACTCATTGAGAATATTTTGTGCTGAATCCAACCGAATACTGACTAATGTTGCGTCCTTTGCACGTCTCGTCTGTACTCCATAATTTTTGTGTGATTCGATCCAAATTAACGACCGAACAAGATCATCGTAAGGGCGCAATTATGGTTTCAAAGGTGCGTTACGATAAGATTATGTGGACGCTATGAACTGACGAATCGCCCGTCAATATTCCCGACCATCTCGTGAATCGTTACGGATACGAGACTGCCTGTCATTGACAGTTGATCTGTTCCTGCATTACTGACATCGTTCCGAAGACTTTCTGTGTGAGCGGCTCGAAAAAGTAATGTTTTTTGATTAGTTAGACACTTTAAAATGTTCACATTTAGAAGGGGCATCTCGAAATGTTCACATGTATGGACGAATCGGGCTGTGGCGCCATTCCTTTGGAATTGCTCATGAACTCTCTTTCGAACAGCCTTTCAAGTTGTTGCATTAATTGGCTACAAATCAGGCTTTCTCGACTGAGAGTGCTCGCATTCCCAATTCAACGCGGTGCGAGATAAGGTTCTGTATTTTGTACATTAATACAGGCGAGGACGAACGCAGTTCCACGTGTACATGAGTGTAAAGCAGGCGGCGGGTGTAACTGTACAGTGGATGTTGTGAGGGCTACGAAGATATCTGAAAATCTTTTAGGTTTGCGGGCGAGGGGGGGGGAATGTTAGGAACCACTGCATTGGAGGTGTGTTCGTAAAGTCTATACACGCAGTATACGCAGCGAAATGGCCAGGAAACATTATTGTTGGCCCGTAGCTAGGATGCCAGTGAAGAAGTTGATAGGTGGTGCCAACAGGCTTCGCCACCCATTCCACTACTGTGTTCGGACTTTAATCACTGTCCGCTTACAGATGATTTATGAAAAAAGAGAAGTGCATACATTATCATTAATATTATTATGTAAGAATATAGAACAAGATTCGTATCACGCAACGAAAAGTAAGTGAAACAACGGCATAAACATCGCGCAAATATTCCAAGTGTACTAGTAGTGCCAGCGCGCAACAGTTTCGCATCACAAAAATGTTATCGCTGTGTTAATATTCATCTATAATAAGGCTGATAGGTCAGTGATAAGATTGTGATATGGTCTGATAACATAGCACTAGAGATTAATAAGTGAACGAATACAATACAATCGAAATCAAAGCTTCATTGAATCCTTCCTATGTATTTTACCTAAATAAATTCAAAATTCCGCACAACCTAGATCACTCTGGCTTGAATGAACATGACGATCACAATAAAGATATTTTTATCATTAGTGAATCTTGTTCACACTAGCCGAACGTGACTCTAGCAAAACCAGTGTAATCTTCAGGATGACTGTTTCAGTAATTTCTTCGAACACTACGAGAAAATATCTTAAGAAGAACAGTGAACGATAAATGAATTCATTAAGTGAACTGTACACGCAGACAAATCTCTATCATAAAGCAGACGAGCATCATTACCATTCCTATCACAACGTCTGTTCTTCAAATTAAACAATTAGAATTCAACAATACCAGCTGCAATCCGAAGCGTAACAACGAATACGTTATATTACACGAAACGAGTAATTTCAAAACAAAGTGCACTTGTCTTAATTGAATTAAAGATTGAATCGAATCCATCACAACCACATCAACAATGAAACAACCAAAAAATCTCAACTAAACTGTGACCAGATAGATGTTGCAATAGAATACATCATCAAATTCCAGAATGATGAAAACAATAGATAAAAGCTTACGCATTCTGATACAATTATAATGATAATACAAGTTGAATGAATAAATTATGAGTTGACAGTGCTCTTATTATTACCACGATCAGATTCACTGAAATTCTCTTCGAATGATACCTTTGAAATGGATCATGGATTATTAATAAAATCATTTCATTAAGAGAGTATAAAACAAATTAAGAGATCAAACATCACTCCTTGATAAACCAAAAACCTTTCACATGGCCAATCAGGTGTATAAGAAACGAGAGATTGATGAAATCACTGAAAAGTGACCACTTAGAAGTGATATTATCGTGGTGCCATCTCTTCAAGAATCTGAAATATTTCACTGTTCGAATAAATGAACGAAACAGAAACCGATGAGGACTGCATTCAACTTCGCAAAAATATCGTTACTGCCCTTTCAGCAAAAAGCATAGTGCTTGATTATGTCCTAAAGTATCCACTCACCTATCGATAACACGCACAAACTTCGCAAAGAAAACGTGCAGCTCTTTTAAATTGTAATCAGACCGATTTCCTTATGCTTTGAATAAAACTGAATTAACTGATAATAATGAGAGTAACTGTCACCTGAATAAGATTATCGAGGCCAATAAAATAACCATCCTCATGATTGCCGGGAGTCCACTCAGTTCGATGATCAACTATACGATCATCAATTGATATTGATTTTGCGAAATCAATCATCCAAATGTTTGCAAGTGCATTATCATACACTAATAATAATGAGCTACCAACCACCTTCAATTAAACACTGATATTTTGAGGCTTCAATCAACAGCTCAAATGAGATTGAGATAACCAATGAAAAAAATTGGATGAATATTTAATTGAACAAAAGCTTAAATCAAGGAGTGAAAAAAGAAACCTCGTGGTGTTTGAAGAAGTAAGATCGCTGAGCGCAATCCCTCATCTTCTTGAGTCTCACCAAAAACTGCTTCCGAACGTGATCACCGCGATTTCCGAAGAATGCACGTAATGTTGTCGATATCTCATCGCGAGTCTTCACCTTCTTGAAGCTTTTCTTGAGCACACCACCAGGCATCTTCATTGGTACTTTCATTAGATATGCGCAATGCTACATATATCATCTCTATATGCTCTTGGTTGTATTGTGATTGTGACTGTTGCATCGTCACAATAATATTGTGACTCGTTGATTGATCGATAATCGACATTTGTAACTAACAGCTAATGAGTTGATCTCATCCAAAGAAGCATTCAAATAACAAATGCAAACAATAAGATCAACAACAAGAAATATTTCTAACCTTGGCAGCCTCGATTCGAAAACCTAAAGAAGCAGTGGAGGATTCGTTCTCTCGGAACTGCATATATCGTAATTTAGTAATAGCCATTTCTCTTCTTTCTTCATCACTCGGTTCAGAAGGATTTTGAGAGATCATCTTCTGGTATAAATCTGATCGTTTCGCTTGATTCTGAACATCACATTCTGAGAAGGTCCTTTAATATTTCATTATTATTATCATTATTATCTTTTATATTATTATCTATTGGCTCAAAATGCTTTTTTGAACATTTATGGTACTGAAGAGACTTATGTGTAATAATAATAATATACTAGTCTCACCTCGTACCCATTTTAATATCCATTATAGCTGGATTGGTGAATTGTGCGGTTAAGTCTTGAATTTCGATGAACGCTTTAAATGAGCACTGTTATCACAACATAATAGACATTATTCTATCGAAAGCATTCTATTGAAACGAATCAACTTACAGTCGTTCTTATAGTCGATTTCTTTGTAGAAACGAGGTACGAATGCGCTCATCAATGGATCTTGCATCAAGCATCGATAGGCACGTGCTTCTGTATAGTCATTGCACGCTTTCCTCTTCCATAAGGTTTGGTCGCTGGCTGGTACGATTGTTCCTGCACTTGTATTCACATCATTAACACATAATCTAGCTGAGCAACAAATAAACAAACAACACCTTCATGTCCCGATAGCTGCACCCAGTTCTTTAAGCGTTCTTTTAACCAACAGTCCAATGGCAACGCAGTTATTGCCATCGTGTCTACAGATACCTGAAAAACACGCACTGTTCATCGATAATCCTTATTAATACACATCAAATATGCTTATCGTCGTCTCACATGATGAGGACTGCTTGACGAAATCAATTCAAAAACATCAAATCACTCACTCGTTATAATGATAACGAAATGAATCACTATTCTTTAACGCAAAGTGGCATCAATTAGTTGTTATCAATAAATCTTTTTAAATTCATTATTATTATTCACACTACTCTTCGGCACTGTTGTTATTGTGACGGAATATTTACTATACGAACATTGGGCCTGTTAAAGGGTGTGTTGGAGTGCAATCGATGAAATATTCAACAAAGAACAACACTCATCACATCTGGGTTTATCTGCAACGAGAACAAAGAGAACTAACAAGGTATGCACTGGATACCGTAAGGGCTGTGCTGATTTACTGTTCGCAGTAAGTGCCGTCAGGAAATAGTCAAAATTAAAGAACAAACGTCATCAAGACGCACTTTACACACGCACATACATACATGTGTTCAGTGCACAGCATAATATAATCAATTCAAGGCAGCCACACACACAAAACTTATAATATAACTGCTATGGGAAGAGGCGATTTTGTATCTTTTCTTATTTTCATTAATGAATTACATTCAAAAAATGA